GAAATACGATTTTTCCCCACTAGCCTGAAAGAGAAAAAACAAAGAGATTTTCGAAAGGCACGCTGGACACACACTAGACATAGGAATATAGGGACAGAGCATAAGCCTGTAAGATAGGCGAGGGGAGTTGTGCTGAAATTCGGGGGGCGACTGTGCCTAAGTTTCATTGGCTACAATAGTGCGCATATTCAGAGCGTGTGATGCAACGACTTGGCTGTCACTGGCAAATAGTAAATGTAACAAGATGATAAGAACTATTTACACCGACTGAGTATTTTGCAGAGGTTATGCATGTGTCTTTTTTTCATAATTTTACTCACACACAACTTCATACACATCTATGTATGTATCAAGTACTTACACACGGCACAACCGCCAATTAGATTTAGGCACAGTTTACCTCGTCGCACCGTCCCGCAATGGTTAACCCCCCGCAACTCTACGCTCTGTCCCTATATTCTTATGTCTATGGGACACACGCTCGTGTTGCGGCTTTCAGCCTTCCAAGTTCAGGATCTCCAATTGTCTCGTCTAATCGCCGTCTAATATCGGCGCCGCGTTACATCAACAATGCAACACCGTTATCAACGTTAGACGGGCGTTGCCTTCCCGCGTCGCGCGCCGCGATCAATCTTCCCGGAAATATGGACCGAAGAAGAAAGTGTCGGTTCATAATCGTTATATGCACGCGCCACACGTTGCCGTCCACGTGAATGAAATTTATTCAACGTCAGAATATTAGCCGGCTGATTACGCGCGATTTAGACAACGGCCGATGGGCGATCATCCGCTATTAATATACCCGCATTACGATTGCAGCTTCCATTCTCGCTCTCTCCCTCCTCGTCGGACAACATAAAATCGCTCGTTCGCGTTCGTCCCGATTCCCGCTAGTATAATTATAGCCTTTCCGCTCGCAAATAGGACAGATTAAGAGATTGCAACTCTTCGACGCGATCAATTACGCCATCGCTTTTAAGAGACGAGAGGGTCCGCGCCATATATAGAGTGTGTGCGCGTGTCTATTAATCCGCGTAAACACAAAGCTCTGTATGTACGCATGCGCTGGGAAAAAAGGCGCATAAGTTTCTGGAGTTTCTCCAGCGACTTAGTTTATATACATAATATATATTAACCCTTTGAGGCACATATTTTTCAGAAAATCCGAATCACATGAAAATTTATATACGGGGGTTTCTGAGATATACGGGAGTGATGACGAATCCGTTATCAGATTTTCGAAATTCAAGACGGCGGATCCAAGATGGCGGCCACAAATATGAAAAATTAACTAACCGGAAGACAAGGTCAGGTAATATAAAATATATTAGAATTCCATGATCCGCCAACTTGAATCTGCAATCTTGAACAATGAGTTTTGGACCTCGGATTCGTAATCAGCGACCTTGAAAGCTAACCAAAGTACAATTTCAGCTAATCATATAAAAATTTTATGATCCGTCATCTTGGAAAATAAATTTTAGAATTTGGACCTCAGATTCGTAAGCAGCGAGCTCAAAAACTAACCAGAGTACAATTTTAGCTAATTCTATGACCCGCCATCTGGGATCCGCCATCTTGGAAAATGAATTTTAGAATGTGAACCTCATATTTGTAATCAGCGATCCAAAAAACCCCCAAATCTTGATTTTGAGTAAAAAATTCGCTCATAGTTCGTGAAAAATGATTTTTTTCTGTAAAAATGTGTATTTTTCACACTTTGTTTATTTATAATAAATGGACGACTTATGCAAAACACTTTTCAACCTTTCACGTATGTTCCCATATCATATAAGAAGCTAAAAAACACCGACAAAAATCCCTCAAATATGAAATATTTCATGAAAATGTGAGAATAAATAGATGGTAAGTATACTTACTATGCCTCAAAGGGTTAAAGAGACAACGCATGCTTGTTGCAGTCAAAATATTTCCCCTCGCTTGCTACAACCTTGGACCATTTTTCGGGCAACAAATGGATTCCTCGATTGAGGAATGACGCATTTTCGATGAGACGAATTCGTCGACCCATTTTCATATTTCAATCTCATTTCATAATCGCACATGGGAGAGACGGTTTTGCATTGACCGAAATAGGTAAAAATCTGAAGGGACAAGATCTGGACGATATATGGCCGGGTGTGATAAAACTTCCCACTCAAGTTCCGGCAAGGTGTCTTTAGTCGCGGAAGCAACATGTGGCTGAGCGTTGTGTCGGGGAGCAAGATGACTTTTCGATTTCCCTTCCCTGTTCACGGCCTTTTTTCTCAACTCCTTCGTTCAACTGGAACAATGGGCGATTGTAGCGCTCTGCAGTGATCGTTTCGCCAGGTTTGAGCAGTTCATAATAGAGCACGCTTTTCTGGTCCTAGCGACGATGAATAAAATTAATTTAAAAAAAATTTTTTTTTCATTTTCCTCAATACGTTAACATTTCTTTTATATATATTCATTAAATAAGATATTTTTAGCGAATGCATTTTTGTATCCTAAATTGCTTTTTGTACAGTTTACATTAGTTTACAACTTTTTTTTGCATGATTTTTTTGCACAGTGCACGTTCACCGTATAAAAAGAAATCTGGTTGTATTACTTTTTGGTTAGAAGAACCAAAGTTGAATTTGAAAAATTGTGACTTCACGTTCGTAAATAGTGACTCTAAAAATTGGATATAGAATTTTAATGACACATTGTTAATTAAATTTGGAAAATTTATTTTTCTTCAGTTTGGACATTTTTGCGAAACTCAGCTTGCCAGTCAAGAGATTAAATACGGCTGAATACGCAGACGAATTTTTATCGATCGCAGTATCAGAGATTCATTACTTCCTGATCTATCGAATTCACCTGATCTCTATTCAATCGCACTGGAGAAGGGGGAGAAAAACGGGTGAGATGTTTTTCTTGTATTATTCATACACGGAGAACTCGGTGTGAATTTTTCATAGCCTGATTAGAATAGCGACCAGACCGAAAAACCTGCTGGAGAGATTCCTGCTGAAAAAGTGGCTTCAGCTTGATCAGTTGTCCCTAATTATCTCAATCGAATTTTAGCATAAACAAATGCAGTAACTAGTAAGTCTCTCTTATCTCAGAGAGACATCACCCCCGTCACCGAACTTTCGTCTGACTCCTAAAAAAGCTGCTTTTGTGTCAGTGGAACAGGTCAACAGCGCCGTAATTGGAGTACGTTTCCTTGGTCGCACGGGAGTGATGTTCATACCAATACCCGAGTTATTAAAATAATGAATAATGCATCATTTTCGATCGTATCGCTGTCGAGTAGAGGAGGTTCGTTCCAATTATGGCGCTGTCTATCGACGCGACAGCACTTTCTTCCCACGTGTTAACATCATTCCGCCGCTAGTCTCTTGTCGATAGGTCTGTTCTTTTAAGCTGCACTGTTGAACTGGTGCTATAAGTTAAAGTGAGACAACTATATTTTTTCTCATTCTAACTTATTGCATCAGTTTAGCGGTGCAGCTGGAAAGAACAGACCAAATGTGTTCGCACCGGAGACTCGCGAGCGCCCTGGTCACCGGGTGTCCATCGCGCCACGGTGATATTAGCCAGGGTCATCGCTGCCCCTTCGGATCTTTCGGCCGATGGAGGTGTTTTCGGTCGGTGACCAAACAATCACCGCGCGATTATTGATTTTCCCAAAGTGAGGTCTCTCGCGGGTACGTCAACCCCTTGGCATCGATCGGCAAGTTCAACGACCGCGGTACAACTAGTTCCCCGGAGCGGATAGCGAGGAAGCGAGAGGGAGAGGAGGTTGGAGGGCGGAGGGCGAGAGAGAGAGAGAGAGAGAGAGAGAGAGAGAGGCAATGCGGCATCCCGAGAGTACGGAATTAAAAGCGTATTTCTGGATATCGGTTACTGTCCCGAATATCTGATTCGCGCTGTCGTGCGATCGGAACCTCGCGGGGGGAAATATTAAAAATCAGGCGGCCGCCTGCAGTGCGGTCATATCGCGAATGATCGATAACGTCGTCACGAGTGAATCGACGACTCGCGGCGGTATTTCGATTTAGGCCGCCCCGCAAATGCAGCGGAATACCGGATACGTTGCTTGTATCATTCATTCTTCGGTTTTCAGGAGTTTCTGGTAGCTTAAGAGTATCCAAGTATATATTAATGCTTACGCAGTTTCGAATTTTACAATTGGGAATAAAATATTCTTAGCATTCGTGATTGTAATTGCATGACGAAATAATCGGAACAAAAAAGCATCGTTATAATACAAGTAACTTTATGAGCCGCCATTACGAGCCAATCGGGGATGACTTTATTTCTCGATGGAAATGGAAGGGAATAAAATGCCTCCTCGTGGAATCATCAGAGTTGAGCAGACGTGCTTATATTGGCAACAAAAAGTAAACAAAAAGACGAACAAGAAATAATGGTAAAAAATAAAAATAAATGAATAAATAAGAGGGATGATCATCGCGACGGTCATCTGCGCTCAACTCCTATCACCCGCCAAAATTAATCATTCACGAATATCCTTGCATTAATAATTCAAAGTTTTACTTGCTTTCTGCAAAATGACAGAAGACTTTTTTGTCCGGCCTGACCTAACCGGCCTAATCTACAAGCGCAGACGTCGCCATCACGGTTCACTTAACACCATCAACGACTCAAAGCTTCGCGTGCTCGGTTGCAAAATGTTAAAGGACCTTCCCTTCAATTTCACACCTACTCGAGAGCTGCATAGGTCATCGTCAGACACCTCGCATGTGTGTCCCAACCGTTACTTTTCCAAAAATCGAAATAACCCTAATTTTGGAAACTCTTCTCTCCCCTCTAGCTGTCGGTGCATCGCGATGCACTCTTTCACAAATCGCGCAGCTCCAGCCGCGAGGGGTCCTCATGTGGCTGCGCCGCAGCGTCCATCGCCGCAGCATCCTCGTACGCTGCACCGTACGCACCCTCACGTGGACGGCGGGGCATGCGCGCGCTCCGCGCTCACCTGCGAGCGTATAAAAGACCGCGCGACGAACGCAACGGGCTCAGTTCGAGCCCGTGTGCAAGTTGCAAATCGTCCTGCCGGCCGAACAGCAGGAGCAGCCTGACAGCTCGATCCTGAGAGATCAGCCGGCCGACCAAGCGGCATAGTGACGAAACAGTGAACACTCGGTGGCGACGGTGGATTTTTCGTGACGAGCAAGCAGTGTCCCCGCGCCGGGATTCGCCTGAGCCTCAGGGATACCCGCAGGGCACCCGGGAAGCACGAGGAACACGCGACGCACGTTGTCATTCGCGCGAGTGGCTGCATCGCGGAGGTGCAGAGGCTGCAATTGTTCCGCAAGTGGCACATTCACTCGCGCGTCTCCGCCGCTGATTTCGCGCCAGAAACTTTCTGGCGCTTCGCCGGCCAGACGGACGGACGGACAAACGGACGACCGGAGCGCGCGAAGATCATCGCCATGGAGGACTCGACGCGGCTGAGCGAGCCGAGCGAGCATCGTCAGCACCACCACCGTCATCATTACCACCATCATCACCATCATCATCACCACCACCATCGCGGCCGTACTCCGGTGGGTGAGTTCGGCGACGACGAGTGCAGCACCGACAGCGGCTGCAGCAGCGGCGGTAGTACCGGCAGCGGTGAACGACTGTCTCGGCGAGGCAGCGACGAGTGGCCGGGCAGGTCCGGCAGGTCGCCGAGGAGCAGCCACTGCTACCTGGAGCGGCTGCGGGCGAGCGGCCGCTCGACGCGGTCGCAGGACCGCGACGGCGGCGGAGGTGGAAGCAGCCTGCAGCGGTCGTCGGAGCGCGCCTGGAGCCCGGAAGACGTGAGGAGCCTGCCCCGAGGAGGCCTCTCGCCCTCGCCATACTCGTCCAGCCCGTCGGACGCGCACAGCAGCAGCGACAGCGACTCCCTCAAGAGGCCTTCCACCACGGAGACGCTGAGACGGGCGTTCCAGAGCCTGAAGATCAACTCGGCCAAGTGGGAAGGCGCCGCCAAGGAGAAGAAGCACGCGAAGAAGAGCCCGAAGAGAATCCTGCGCAGCCCGGTGCCCTACATGTACGTGCGGGGCCTGTCCGGCCTGCCGACCCTAAGGGTCCCCCGAAACGGTCTCCAGCAGATACAACCTTGCTCCTGCCAGGACCTGATTGGGCTCTATCTGTAGATCCTGATTGCGCCAAGAGAGGAACGAAAAGAAAGAGAGAGGGACTTGTCCTCGGGAGGACAACACGAGTCATACCGGATTCCCATAATAGCCGAGGCAGGACCAAGGACCTCCCGACTCGCGCCGGGACCCCGACGACGAGTCGATCTCTTCATCGCAACTGCCCCGAGCCGGTTTCCGCTCGCGGAACTCGGGGTCTCTCTTGGTTCGCCCGCGCAAACGCTTCGCGGACTCCTCCGCTGCGAAGTAGTATAAGTCGAGCATAACGCCGGCCGACGCGACGCGACGCGCTTAGCTGATCGCCCGGTCCCCCAGTCGAGGAAACTAATGACGAGAAGAAGCTGAGGGAAGGGGGAGGGACCAGAGGGGGCGAGGACAGAATCCAAAGGGCGAGATGGATGTTGAATGTACGCTACTGATCGTGTTGTTAGGCGCCAGAACGATTCTCCGAACACGAAAAGCGATCGGATGAAATAACAACTCGGGACGAGGGGGAGGGAACTTTGTATTTGGCTCCGTTGATCCTTCCTCTGCGAGTGACTCAGCCGCGTGACCTCGCATCGGGGCGAACGGGGGACGAATCCGCCGCGTCTCGCCCGCGCAAACTTTCTAACACTTTTGCAACGTCTTTTTATCGAGCTCTTCTCTCGTCGATCTCGTAGGGTGTTTAGGCGCCAAGAAGTACTTCCTACGTATGTTACGTACACACAAACACACACATACACACATGCAAGTATGTAATCATCAAAAACACTCAATTAGATAATTCCTTTCTCGATGCACTCTCGAGAAGTTCGGCCAGCAGCGCTGCGGTGTTCCCCAACGAAGCGTAATAAGACGAAGCGGGTGTCTAGCGACATGAGCGCGCAGACTGATAGGTTTAATGTACACTCGTTCGTACGTACGCTGTCGTTGATGAAGAAACTATATAGGATTCTCCTCGGCTCAAGCGTCGACCATTAGAGAGATTCTCTGATGGACGTTCACGCGAAATCGAGGGTCGTAACGACGACGCGATAATAATAATATAGAATAAGAAGGCGCAAAGAGCTGTCGAACGATCTAATCGAAGAGGCTCCCCCGCAGGAAATGATTATATATAATTACATAAGATTATGTATGATTATATATAAATTATACATAATTATATGCAACCCATAAACGAATGTTGCCTCCATTAGTTGCATATACACGCCATTACGCACGTTCACACGCGAAAAATGCTGTTGAAAGTGGAAGGAGAAAAATATTAATTTATCGAATGCTGATTAAATATGATTTATAAGTTACTCGATTCAGCGGAATGTCGACGTCACGAGTCGCAAACGTAAGCATTTGCTGCAATTACATTTGTACGCGACATTCTCTTCAGGGTGTGAACGCACGTAGTGGCGGATGTTCATATGTGGCGATGTGGGGACGAGGTTTATATATAAAATCATCTTTCTGCAGAGCAGCTTTCAGGTGCGCCTGGTGCAGCAAGGTCTGATCGTCGCGTATGAATTAACGGCGTGACGTGTATGACGCACGCACCTGAAGGCCGAGCGAGTGATCGACGATTATCCCTGGTTGGCGCTTCTCGTTCGATCGTTCGTTCATTCGTACATTCATTCATTGCCGTCGTGTGTGACGACACACTTCCATCGGCACTAACAGACGCGGTTCATTAACGACGGGAATCAACTACGTCGGTCGATCGATCAGCGCGATCGCTCATGAATATTCGATGAATCCCTAATGTCGACGGCGCTCTTAAATACATGCATTCGGGCGTAGATGTGATAAGGTCGCGCTCTCCGAATATGTTGGGGATGAAATCTTGCTCGAGGAACGGAGCGAGAGCTGCAAAGTAGCTCGAACTGCTCTTCTCGCATTTCGCGAACTTTGTTCGGAACTGAAGAGTGAGTCCGACATGCTCCATCGTTGCGGTAACAATTTCGCTCTAACACTCACTCGCCTGGAATGACAATCTGTGTTCTAAGTCTGAATGAAAAATTCTCCATTACGATTAGTAATGCAAGTGGTACCTTCGTCTCGAGTGATATCTTACCCCCAGACATTTGCAGAGCATACTATTTACTGGACTATTTACTGGAGACTAAGAATCGTGAATTCCTGGCTGAAGTTTGCAGCGAGCCGAAATTGGAATTAGTCGATTCGTCGAGCAATCGTCTTCAACCCACAATTCTCCGTTTCCAGTATTTAGTTTGACTAAACCCGTAACAAGATTCTCGAGGATCCGCGTTATTTCTGTGCAGCCAGATAATTTTCAGATCAGGAAAAATAGAGAGTTCTTAAGTGTCGTTAAAAACAAGTACCGAGTCAAAGTTGCCCACTCATGATGTCTACTTCATTCGCAAACATTGTTAATCCTTCGAAATTGGGTCTCTTTCTTTCACTTAACGAACCTCCAACGCTTTTTGTTTTGTACATAGTTGATGGTATAAAAATGTAACAACCAATCTGGCGGGCCGTAAGAGAATAATGCGGCGAGTTAACCAAGCTTGTCCTAAAGGAGAGATTCCTCGACGGCTGCGGGTCGTGACCTTTCTCGCCCGTCTGCGGTGAGGAATTCGCTCGCTCGCTCGTGTTAATATTAGAGGGCGACAATCACAGTATTGTCGACGTAGAGAATCAAGCGCATACATCGTAAGAATTAGGGTCTCCTGCGTGAACAACTGTAAACGAAGCATATCATTGTCCCAGGCTTCATCACCTTACCTTGCCCCCTCGTCATCCCCGCCATCCCCGCCCTTCCCGCGAGGGTATTCGACGTCGTCAGATTTCGAGGTCAGCTTTCGCGTACTCGACGAGCGACTGCGAAAACTTCTGAGCTTCCTTTCGGCGCTTGCGAGCCTTCCGATTGGCCACCGATTGGCCGCTCGATGAAAGAGATTTCAGGATACCGGTCTTTGTCTGTGAAAACCGCCGTGCGTTTTCCTGTGGAACGGTTTGGACATGACTCTGAATGCGAATCTATTTGTTGGAGTGATATCCACAAAATAGATCTGCTCATCGGAATCGGAAGGTTGTCGGGAGAGAATGTTCAAACTGTGCTGCGGAAGACTGTCAATCTAGGTGAGGGAGTTACGTTGCACGAATTTTCGGCAGGGGGATTTGCAACGTTTCGTATCGTTCGGTTGGACTTGTTAACATTCAGCTTGCACATTTACTGTCGAAACTTCATTTTCGACCGGGAGGCATTCGGGAGGCTTTGTCAAGCTCGAATCCCATTGGAGAAGACTAGACGAAAGTAGCATGTCCTTTGCATCTTATCCTGAAGTCTCTCGTGAGAAGCCGCAGTCTATGTATATAAATCTATGATTCGAGATTTGCTACTGAAGGGTTTGCGCAGCAACCGTTTTATCTGGACGGAAAGCATTGCAGGGGTAGGTCTAACCGGCGATGAAGGGAAAGTTATACGGCACTTGCGCGCTTGGAAAATATTCGGCTTTATCCGGCTCTCGCTGGAGCCGCAAGCAACTGAGTTAGCATCTTGAGAGTTTGCCTTGTTGATTTATTACAAGTTGCCAAGGTGTGCACGAAGCAAGTAAACACCTGTGAAAGCCGTACGACTTGAAGTACCGTAACTTTGTCCTCACCACCAGTTGATACGCCCCTGGCCTAATCTAAATTAACAGGTCACGCTTGCCCAGCTATTCTGACGTCGTCCTTTTGTTGCACTCTTATCTTGCCGAATAAGGGTGAAATAACGGGCCGCTGTCTACACCGCGTATTTTGTTTGAAAGTCCGTCTGGACTGTTCAATTTTCAAATTCGGCGACCCTGCACCACTTTACTGCGCAAGCCTGTCGGCAGTGGCTCTCAACCGCGGCAGTTTGGCGCGCTGCACACTTCATTGCGTCCAAACCGTTTCGCGACCAAGTCCTTTTACACGTATGTTTTCCGCTCGCAGTCGATCGGCTGAGCCAATTGCCGTGCTGATTGTATGTTGTTCGAGCTGAACTCATTCACGAATGAACACGTCGAAAACCTCGATCCGGTCTGCTCCAACCGAATTCTCGCTAGAGGTGATCCGAGGTCTGTGCTTCTTGGCTGAACGAAATTGCACATAGGCCTGCGCTGAAGAAAAGAGAAACGAAGTCTCAGCGCAGGCTGAAGAAGCCAAGAAGAGCAGACCGCCGGGTGCCATCCGCTTCCGACAAAAGTTCGCGAGCGGCTCGTTAATACCGGTTACCGACATCTCTTTCCACGATAACCGTTACGTAAGCGCGATGTACAGGGCTGATCGGGCTAATTGGCTGACGTAACCGCGCCGTGCGTAATTATTGCTGTCAAGAAGAAGCGCACGTGGAGTGCGCGACAAAGGGAAATCCGCTGCCGCGACTGGCGAGAAAAACTGACTGATCCCAATAAAAAGAAAGAATAGCGAAAAAGAAAAAGAGCAGAAAAATAAGGGATGGAATGCTGAAGAATGAAGGAAAAGAGGGTCGAAAGAGAGAAAGAAAGACAGAAAGAGACAGAGAGAGAGTCCGCGAAATTCCCCGACTGGGAATGAACGTCCGCGAAAGAACGTCTGTGCGATTCATCTCTAGTGCCTTGTAGATATTCCCGACATGATTGCACGATTAGGTGTTGTCGATTGGCGAGGATCAGCGCGAGGAAAGGAAACGGAGGGAACCACTCGAGAGAGGAGACCGAAGAAAGAAGAAAAAAAGAAGAAGATAACAAAGAGATGAACAAATGAAGATCAATTACTCAGGACTGAATGTTTTGTATAGTTTTGTCTATGTCGAACATAATTTACGTTACAAATAAACATTTTTCATTCTAGTCTGCAAGCTTTCTTCCACCCTCACCCGCTCCTCGGCGAATTTTTCGCGACCTTGAGAAAAGCTCTGGCATTCGTCAGCTCAAAACTCCTTGCTCTTCCAAATCGCTCTCATCGTGCCTGAATTTAAATTTAATTTCCGGACAAATTGGCTGAACAAGCGGTCGAAATGTAGCGATTAGGAAGACTGCGGGGTTTTGATTTGGTAAATATTAAGACTTTCGAAATTTGGCATATCGTTTATCACATTTCTCAAAAAAAAAAAAATGGAGAAATAAAAATAATCCAAGCGATCAAATCAGTTCTCGAACGAAATCGTTATCGTTAATTCGAGCTTTTGATCTTTCGGGACAATACGTGTTCACTTCAGTACAGCAATAGTTTCGAAGTTAATGTGCTACACTTTGTTTTGACAACTCGAGTGTTAGCTTCAATAATAGCGCTGTTGAGACAAGAGGGACTCGCTGCGAGTTCTTCTTGGTTCAATCAATATCGGCCAATTCGATGGATGCAGGGGCTCTTTTTAGTGGGCATGCATTGTCCAACTTTCATAATTCGGAACCTGGAACCATCTCCCGGAAATCGAACAAAATTCCGGTAGTAGTATTTTATTTCAAGAGATTATTCGGCTGCTTGGATTTCCACGCTATGACTTCTCAGAAAATGATCTCGCTTTTTAAATTTCGATACATTTTTCTCGGACGATACGCATGTAGCATTTCTTCCGTGAAGAAAAGCGACCGTCCCACGAGTCGCGATAAAATTGCACGGAAAAGCTTTCGAGGTTCGGAGAAATGTTAATAGAACGCGATTGACGTCGTTTCGCGGCGCGGCCAGGTGCGATTGTTTCGCGACCCAACCTATCCTTCATTCATTTCCTCGAATGGTGGGGAATCCTTGAAGGGACACGTGACGAGTAACGAGAGCATCGAATACACAGAGAAAGAAGTGTTTGGTATTTGTAACCACGGTCACATGTGAAAGAATTACAATAAGGAAAACCGTTCCGCAGCAATTGTTACTACAATATTAGCGACAATAACCATGTATTTATACCGCGACTGCAACATTTTTATCAGGACGACAAAAAGACGTAGCTGAGGTTAAAGTAATTTTAGTGACGTTATTCGCGATCAAAAAGAATTATGTATAATTATATAAAATTATACATAATTATATGTAAAGTATATCATTCGCGGAGGAAAATGTCTGGTTGAATGAGCCTATTTTCTAGCAGAAAATTTTTCTTATTAACTAGATTAACTGGATTAACTAGAAATCTTTGCGGTTGAACAAAGAAAAGAAGAAACTATGTGTTTCAATTAATTATACGTCTGCGTCTCACTGCAATAAACATGATCAGTCGTTTATTGTATCTCTATGCATTTTCTTGTCCAACATGGACAAATTCATACATAATCATAATTATGTATAATTATTTTCGGTCGGGAGTGGCTGCTCTTTTCTCTCAATGTGCCGAGCGCTAAACAGCAGTGCGCCAAGTTGCGCGAGCAACCTTTCGCCACGCGTAATCCTGAGGATTACGACGCGCGTATACAGGGTGTCCCACTTTAAAGTTTTCATTAGAATATCTCTTTAAGAAAGCATTTGAGAAAAAAATGTTTTCAACAGAAATTGTTTGGTTTGAAGAGCAATATCATTTTGTTTAGCGACACTTTCAAGATATTCACTGATCATTATTTTTCTTAAATGGAAATCCCAATTTTTTATTACATCATCATCTTCTACCAATTAATTTGAACAACTTTTGTCTGAAACATTTTTTTATTTGCCTAATATTTTTTGAAATGTTTAAAGAAAACCTTGAAACTTCTTCAATATTTAGCTTACGATATCTCGATAATTATTTATCGAAAGAAAAAGTAGTATTAGACTTTTTTACTCTATTTGGCCTCAAGAATAAACTGTTGCAATATCGCACTAACTGTTGTTAATTTTTTGGCCTTTAGGAATTTCAAAACCATCAAATTCTAACCTTCCATTTAAGGAAAGTGATGATCAGTGAGTATCTCGAAAGTAGCGCTACCTGTGAACAGAATAATATCGCGGCCTTTATATCCCCCTTCAAACCGAGCAACTCTTGTCCAAAACATTTTTTTCTTAAAGAAATATTCTAATGGAAACTTAAAAATGGGACACCTTATATATTACGGAATATCGAACGCGATATTCTGACGTTTGAGCGAGCGAGAGAGAGAGAGAGAGAGAGGGAGGGAAGGAGGGGGGAAGCGAGCAGCTTGGTTACGCGCACAACTACGGTGTGTGTGTTTTTATCCATGGCCATGACAGAACTAAGAACTGACCCAGTTACTGACACAGGGTAACTGCACCGGCGTGCGTGACGTCAGGATGAGCAGCAGCCCCATTCACGAGGCTTCGACAAGCCGCGCGGGATCGGCGCGATATATCCGTGACGCCGTGAAATATCATAGTTCATTCAATGATCTGCTGACTCGCGCTTCGCCGCGCTCTCTCGCCATCATTTCCCGCTTCCCTTTGTTTAAGGGGCGGAAACGACACCGGTCGCCCCGCCGTCGCTCTCGAGAGCGTCGAGACTCGCTTGTGGGCGACAACAAAGAAAGGTCGGTCGATGCGGCTTTAATCGAGGCGAACGGATTCAATTTCTGACCGGCGATCTGGACCGGCCTGGTCCCCTCGGCAAGACTTTAGCGTTGCTTCAGGACGCATCAGGACAACGTGGACTTTGGCGTAAATTGCTGCACGAGGCTTAAGATTCACAGAAGAGATGTGACCTTCGCAGAATTCGGTGTCACTTTTGGCCTTCACTTGACCGACAGCGGCGTTTCGTTGGGGTCCCATGGGACCTCAGGACCTAATCCTGTCTACATACATAGCTAACGTCACGATTTTATGGGGATTGACCGATCGCATTTGTCGTTAAGCTGACACTCGATCGGCCGATTCGAGAAGTTAGCTTTTTATTCGCTGCCTTGGACGATCAGCGGTTAATTGGTCAAAAATCAAGTCAAGGATTTGATAACTCTTGGCGTAGCTTTGTTCGTTAATTTGGGAAGAGTTAGCTTTTGTCTTGAAGCAGCTATCTTGAGATGCATTGATATTGTCAACTTTTTTGTACACAAATTAAAATCATTCGCCAATCGCGTAATTCCGAAATTCAGTTCTCTCTTCTCTCCTCTTTTTCTGTACAGTCCAAATCGGAATTAATGGTCGGCAATACGCGGCTCTGATATCTCATTTCCACACTTCGCTCACTGCATCAATTTTCTCCAGCTCCTCATTAGTTTGTTAACTCGTCTCTGTGGGGTTTCGGAACAATTTAATCTTTCCATTACTGCCCTCGATATCTTCGCTATTCTTAGATGCCTCTTCGTCTCAATCATGATGAACTTTGCTCCAAGACAATAATAGATCGTTCTTATTTCTCTCTCTTTCTTCCTACACAATCTCATCGCCGAAGAGAGAGTGTTCGGTGTTTGTAACTGTAATCGCACAGCGAGAGAATTGTAGTCGGGAGGGCCATTTTTGTAGCAAGCATTGCGATAGTATCACGACAATAACCATGCGTATGTACTGCAACCACTACTTTTTTTATTAGAACAGGAATATCGCTGAGGCCGAAAAAGCTCGAATTTTATCGACATAAAGTGTTTCTTTCTTTCTCAGTGATGTGAAAGTCGCGGAAGCAAACCGCAAGTTATACGCGTAGGTGGTAGTATCACAAATTTCATTACGCTCCGACCACAATCTCGTCCCTCCGGAGGCAGAATCACGACGGCGAACGATGGCGTTCAACTCAATCTAACATTAATAACGTTAGTCGTGAACGGAATTCCGAAGCTCCGTAATTGGGCTTGGCGTAAATTGCCGCACGAGGCTTAAGATTCGCGGAACGACGCGATCTTCGCAGAATTCGGTGTCACTTTCGGGCTCGCTTGACCGACAGCGGCGTACCGTTAGGGTGGATCCCTCAGGACGCAATCCTGTCCACGTGCACTGGAGTAAGTCTGCAAAACCTGTATAGGTAGATGCTGCTTCGTATACTTCTATGTTTGGTAATAACATCTTTAGCGTTTGACACGAGATGGATCCATAGAGTAGCCCACGTGAGACTGAACAACTCAATACCCCGAGAATTACGCGATCAATTTCAACCGTTCTAATTTTACCCCATTTGTCTCCTCTGAAAAGCGAAGGGGTGAGGTAACTTAATAGACAATGATGACAATTTCCTGTCGGTCTTTCAACGCAACGAGAGATTTATTTGTGATTGTCAGACACCCTCTGTATATTCGCCACCCTCTATATATTCGACTGTCAGAAAAAAAGGGAAGAATCGCGCGTGAAAGAATTGCAATAGCTCAAGCGAGGCTTAACATTTTGTTATAATCTAATACCCCGAAGGTTCATTGCAGGGTGTTATCAGGTCAGCCGACTGCCAGGTGACTGCCAAGTGCGTGCGAAAAAGCTGCGAATTGTATAATGGAAGCGCGCAGTCGAAATAGACGCAACTTCCGACGTGGACCCCATCGGATTGTCCGATCCTTCGCTTCCTCTTTCCCCTTCCTGCGCATGTATGTATGTGTGTGTGTGTGTGTGTCTTTGGCCCAGTTTTCCCATTGGCGTAATGACGTCATCCACGTCATTGAGAAGGCCACTGACAACGCGTCCCAGTTCCCGCCGCAGCGCGGCAGTTCGCGCGGCGCGGAACAACTCGGTCGGAGCTTAATCCCGTAGCCTTCGACCCTTCATCGCGGTCGAACCTGGATCTCGCTTCTTATACGTGCGTCAAGCAGTCGCGTGTGCCAGCACGTGAGTCTCGTTCCGCGTGCTCGGACGTGGAAGATGCCGGACGGAGTCGCGAAGCGAGTGAAAAATTGTACAATCGTCGACGAGTAGGTCGCCCATTAGGTAAGTTTTGTGTAAGTTTCGGAACGCAAACGTCTGATCTAGCGGTAGATTTGTCCCGCTGAGAAGCAAATTCTTTTACTGAGCAAGGCGA